AAAGTTGCAAAATGAAAAGAATTTATTAAAAACTCCATCGTTCAACCCGCGAACGATCTGTGTCGGAAACATTCCATTGCAGTGATCGTCACAACGTTTTCTGTTCATCGAATAGAAGAACGTCGTGTCATTTAACTGGAAAAAGCAACACACACCAAATGCTGTGTAAATTTCTCTTTTGTAGAGGTATTTTTCGCACGATTGTTTTATATTGCTTTCATACGCGTGTACCAATTCCAATCTTGGTTACATTTGAACACTCGTAAATCCCGTTACACGTGCAGCCGGGCAACAAGTGACGTAACCAAGCCCGTAACCATTTACACCGTGTCGCCGGAGATTTTCATAACAACGGTTACGCGGACTCGATTTTAATGCAGAAATTAAACGCACACGGCGCACTTATCCCACTCACGTCGTGTTCTGTCAATCGTGAATTGCTCGCACACTCATTTCACGTTGAACATTTCACGGATATCGTGCCTGAAACTTCGCCACGCGATGCACTGCACTATTAATATATTGATAGGCTGAACTTGCACAAAGATTTCAGCTATTATCGGGCTGGAAACTCTCGTCACGACATATAAACACGAAGTGTAGCGTAATTCCTGATGGAGGGGTGGTGGTTCTCGTGAGAGGGGGGAGAGATTGAAAAATATACGAGGCGACGTTTTTGCACTTGGAGAAAATTGTTCGTAATCGTATTGCTTGAAATTACGGTCATTCTCGCCGAACTGTTTGACGTATACAAAGATTATAACAATTATACTATAATTATGTAACTATAACAATTATACGAAAGTATCAGATCGTGTTCTTGGTATTCTTGGAATAATTTCATAATTTGTACTGTTCGGAGCAAACAAAAAAAAAAAAAAAAAAAACTTCAGGATGTTTGAACGAAATATTTAATTAAATTTCACGTTCTTTTCTACATATATACATATTCGACATCGATAGTACTATAATTACAATTATAAATGTCAATTTGTTCTTTTGAAGACATATTCGAACATTAATTAACTTGAATGATTGCACAATTTATATAGGCAGAATATTCAATTATAAAGAAAAGGAACCATAATTTTAAGAAGCGAATCGTTCTACATATTATACGGAATAAATAAATATTAATAAGGAATTATTATTAAATAATAATAATATCACATCATATTGTTAAATTGTAACAATCGTATTGTTATTATTAAATAATTTCAACGAACTGAGAAATCGTTTCCTGATCATGAACGGAATTTTCAAATGAGTTTACGAAAGGGATTAACTATTTACTCTTATTAGATACATCGTTTTACTACTTTGCATTTTCTTCAATTAAATAAAATAAACATCAAGTATATATATATATATACAGTTAACTGTTTTCTGTGTTTCGCCATTTTATACGAATTTATTAGAAGTCTGAAACGAGCAACGAGCTATTATAATTCAAACATGTCTCATTCATTAATATACACATTGCGCAGCCTGGCAATTACGAAGAAGAGACATCAAGTTTTTCAACATTCCATACGGTTTCCCGATACTGCCTCGCTACGTACTTAAAAATGAAGGCTTACCGAGAATCTTTCAGCGCCGACCGGAGCAAAACATGTGAAACCTATCGAGGAATAAACCTCCATTAATATTAATAAGGAAAGGGGTCGTTTGTTCCGTTATCCAAGAATTTCCTCATCTTATCGATCATGTCTCTCCCTTGATTAATTAATTCAAACAGCGTGCGTTCCGCCGCGAGTTCGAGCTTCTCGGCTCCTAAAACTCCAACGTCCAAAGCCGATAATTCGAGCGTGAATCACTTGTTGATAGCTCTGGTAATCTGCGCGAGAGTGGGAAAGAAAAAGACCGAGGCAAGCGAGCGAGACAAACAGAA